TTGTGTGCAGGTCTGGAGCCCTCAATATAAGAAGGACATGGACCTGATGGAGAGGGTCCAGAGGAGGGCCACAAGGATGATCAGGGGGATGGAGCACCTCTGCTACGAGGACAGGCTGAGGGAGCTGGGGTTGTTCAGCCTGAAGAAGAGGAGGCTCCGGGGAGACCTAATAGCGGCCTTCCAGTACCTGAGGGGGCTACAGGAAGGCTGGGGAGAACCTGTTTAGAAAGGCCTGTAGTGACAGGACGAGGGGCAATGGCTTCAAGCTGGAGGGGAACAGATTTAGACTGGAGATGAGGAGAGGGTTCTTCACTGTGAGGGTGGTGGAGCACTGGAACAGGTTGCCCAGGGAGGTGGTTGAGGCCCCTTCCCTGGAGATATTCAAGGAGAGGCTCGATGAGGCCCTGGGCAACCTGGTCTAGTTGGGGGTGTCCCTGCTGACTGCAGGGAGGTCGGACTGGATGACTTTTGGAGGTCCCTTCCAGCCTGGGCAATTCTATGATTCTATGATTCTATGAGACAGGGGCTCTTTGGGGAGTGAAGCAAAGGTTCAAAACCTTTGATGGTGGAGCATCATCTGTGCCTGCAGCAGCTAAAGCAGCAGTTCTGAGGGTCTGCACAGCTCTAGGCTGCTGGGGACATGGTGTCCATGTTGAGGTCTCAGCCCCATGGGTTGTTGCGTAGTGACTTGCAGGGTGTGAAGGCACGGCCTTTGTGGGGGGTTCCTGATCCCACACCCTTCTCTCCCTCCCCGCAGATGGTGCTGCTGTGGAGCACAGAGCTCTTCCCCTCCCCAGAGGACTGGCAGGACCTGGAGGGCTCCATCTACAGGCTCTTGGTGATCCTCCTCCGCTGCCTGGCCACCGGCTGCCTGCCCCATTTTCTGCACCCAGAGGAGAACCTCTTCCAAGGAGAGCCCTTGGACCTCACCTCCCTCTACCGTAAAGTGGAGAGCTTCGCCCAGGACCCCCGACGCTTCCTCCGCTTCCATTTTGGCCTCCCTGCGTGGACTGACAGGTGGCAGGCAGACACCGGCACCCGAGCCCTCCTGCAGCTCCCTGCCAAGGATGGATCATACTGGGACACAGCCTACTTTGACATACTTCTCAGCCAGGTAATGGGGACCGGAGACCCTGGGCTGGTTTTGTGAGGTGGAGCGTGACAATACCAGAAACCACCAGGGCTGGGCAGCTTAGGATGTGCTGGAATTTGTGCCCCAGAATGCTCTGGCCCTTGGTAGCTGCTGGTGTATGCTGCCCAACCCTGCCGTGGAGGCTGCGAGAGGCTGGCAGTGCTGGGGTGTGGGCTCGAGCAGGGTGGAGAGCCCTTTCCCCTCACTCCCCATCTACCTGCACTCAGTTCCAGGTGTACCGGATCCAGGATGGCGCACGCCGCTCAGCAATGTCCCAGCTCCTCTCCAAGATCCGTCGAGAAATACCCCAGCAGAGCTGAGCAGGACCCCGCTGCTGCCCCATCTGGATCTCTCGAAACTCGGTGTGGGGGTGCAAGGCGAGCTATGGAGCTAGGGAGCAGCATGCTGTCGTGTTGCTTTATTGAGGAAGGATAGTACCAGGGAGCGAGCTCACATCTGCTGCAGCTGGGTGGGGATGCACAGCCTCTCGGATCCCCTGGTGGAGCTGGGCGCCAGGGAGGGTGTTTCATCCCAGGGTACCTAATCTGGGGTGGATGTATGGTGAGCTGCACTGTGGGGGTTCTGGTGCGGGGACAGTGATGGTGGTAGGAGGGGAAGGTCAGATCCTGCATCCAGACCTCATGTCAGCTTGCAGTGGGGCTGTCGTACCCTGGGGCCAGGGGAAAGGGAGCAGCTGGGGGCCCAGGCCATCAGGGTGAGGAGTGACCCTGTGTGGGGACTGGAAGAAAGGGTTTTGAGCCACATCCTGTGTTCAGCAAGCTGCAGCCCTCACCTCCCCATCTCCTGCTCTTCCAGCTTCTCCTTCCCACTCTGGCTTGGGTTAATGGGTGTTGCAGCGTTTCCTGCCAGCGCTCTGAAGAGGCAGCAGAGCCCCCTGCCTGCCAGCTGCTTGCAGCTGGGTATGAGGGGGAGCACCACGCTGCCTCAGCTGGACCCCCACTTTGCAGGGGTGCTCAGAGCCTGTGGCGGTGGCAGCGCACAAGGGCGTCTCTCAGGGCACGCAGCACACTGTCCACGTTGCCGCTGGTGGAGTTGCAGCCCATGAGGCCAATGCGCAGAACCTGAGAGGAGAAGGACGAGCATCTCCCTGCAGCACCCCACGTTGTGGCCATGCCCCAGTGCCATCTCCCTGAGAGCAGAACGGCCGGCAGCAGAGCGCGGGGTCCTGCACAGAGCAGGGGCCACGCGAGGAGCGGCCATGCATGTGGCTGGGCACGAGTGCTTGTGTACAAGGCATTGCTCGCTCCTGTGTAACACACATTCCCGCTAAAGATGTGTCGCCCTGCTAATTATGTGCACGGTTATTCAATTATTCGCAGCAATTGTGTGTGGTTAGGAGCTGCTATGCATTGCTGCAGGCGATGGGACGCATCCAGCCGTGTTTGCTGTTTGCAGCCAGAGAGCAGTAGTTAGTGGTTGGGTGTGTTCTTGGTGGATGTGTCCACCAGGCGGGTTGGGGGCCCGGCCGTGGGCGGTGGAAGGGGAGGATGCTGCCCACCTTGCCCACCGAGGGGCCCAGGCCCCCGGCGATTTCGATGGAATGGTTCTCCATGAGAAAGGCTGTGATGTCCCTCCAGTCGTAGCCCTCAGGCACTCTGACGGTGGTGATTGTGGGAAGTCTCGCCTTCTGAGGAAGAGAGAAGGCGGGTTAGATCTGCAGCTCCTGGCCACAGCCCTGTCCCCCTGTGAGCCCGGCAGCCTGTCAGGAGAAAGCAGCGCTGGGAGCTTTTTCTCCAGCATCAAAAGCTGCCCAGGCACATCTCCAGCCGCGCAGGGTCATGTCCTCACACTGCTCCTGCACCATGGTGGTGAGCTCGCCTCGTACCCACCTCCTCCTTCACAAAGAGCTCAAGCCCCAGGTCACGCAGCCCCTGGCACAGCTGGGCACAGTTGGCCCGGTGGCGCTCCCACGAGGTCTCCAGACCCTGTGGGCACAGAAGGAGGGAGAAGGTCTGGGCACTCTCCCAAACCCCACCAGCACTGCTGGTGCTCCCTTGCCTCCCTGGTGCTGCTCACCACTTCCACCAGCATGGCCAAGCCTTCCCGCAGGCTGAAGAAGCTGTTGATTGGTGCCGTGTGATGATACCTGCAAAACCCAAGGGGCACCCAGGTGGGTTCAGTCCGGCTGGAAGCAGAGGTGGGGGGGGCTCACTGTTGGGGGAAACCAGGGTGCGGTGTCCTCCCTCCTCTTTACCCACCGCAAAGAGGTTGCAAATACACAGGGCTGCTTTGTGACCAGTGACAGGGTGATGGGGAGACAAGGCCCGAGCCCTGCAGGGCAGGTGGCCACCGAGCCAGGGTGAAGGCTGCAGTGGGTCAGCCACAGCCATCTGTCCCAGGACACCCTACCCTCACCTTCGTGGCTCCCCGTCACAGCCCCAGTAGTTTGCCAGCCAAGCCATGTCCAGGTAGAAGGATGGGGGCTTTGTCTTCCTCCTCAGTATCTTCTCCCTGGCGAGGCAGAGTGCTTTGGAGGAGCCAGGCCTTGATCCCACCATGTCCAGGGGACCCCAAAGCGAGGGCTGAACACTGCTGCTGGGCATGCTCTCCAGAGCAGGGCTGGAGTGGATGCCTGGCAAAGCTGGGGGCAGGGAGGGGAACGACAGCCTTTGCTCCAGCCCCATTGCCTTTACTTCTGATGGGACAGGGCTGCCCTTACCTGGCTCGCTCGCTGAATGAGATGGGGGCACTGCCGGGGGGGGCGTTGAGGACTTTCTGAGACCCCGAGTATAGGACATCGATCTCTGCCCGAAAGGAGAGGCAGCTTCTTAGGAACTGGGGGCTCCCAGCAGGGACGTGCTGAGCCCCTCCAACCCAGCTGCAGGTGGGTGGCACATGCTGCAGGTCCTGCTTGTGTTTGGGGGACACCCCGCACTGCTGGTGGTCCCCTGAGGGGAACAGGCTCTCCGACTGCAACTGGACCAGTTTCTAGTGCTGCTAGCCAGAAACCTAGACAGTGTGTCTGATCCTACCGCCCTTCCTCCCTGGCCCAGCCATGAGCCTTCTTGTCCCCTGGCTGCCCGTGATGGTACTGTGGCTCTTACCCTGCTGGTCCATGAAGATGGGAGCACCCCCGAGAGATGCCACTGCATCCACGAGCAGCAGACAGCTGTGCCTGTGGGAGGACAGAGCTCAGCCTGGTGTCCCTGCCACCTCCTCTTGCCACCCCTCTGCCTGCAACTCCAGAACCCCAGTCCCCACAAGACTGCATTTCTCCTGGCACCAACTGCTTCCAGCACAACAAAGCCAGAGGAGAGTCTGGCGCGTGTAAATCCCTGTGCCCCAGTCCTCAAGGGTGACCCCGGGGTGCCGCCAGCCCCCACAGGTGCCTGCCATACACTGACCGGTGGCACAGCTTCCCCAGCCCCTCCAGTGGCTGCAGCACCCCCGTGGAGGACTCCCCGTGGGTGATGAAGAGCACGGAAGGCTTGTGCCGCACCAGGCCCTGCATGAAACAGAGAGGAAGGTGACCATCCCCGGGGCCAGCTTGTGCCCACCGCCCCGCATCAAGGCTGGCACTCACCTCCTCGATGTCCCCCAGAGCAAAGTACTCGCCCGGGGGCTTCAGCAGCTCGTGGACATTGGCTCCTGGGACAGATGTGGGCAAAGGGAGAGTGAGGTTTGGGCATACTTCCCACTGGGCTGCTCGGTGTGGGAATTCACCCTGCTTGGTGTGGGAATTGGTCACACACGAACCAGGAGTGCGGCTGCCTGCCAGGATCCAGCCTCCCACAGATTTGCCCAGTGGAAAAAGCCATAAACCATTGTAAGCAGAGGGACATCACCCTGGAAAAAACCTGGAATGCTCTCCGGCCACAGAAGTGTCCCTGGCCATTGTCACTGGGATGGGGACAGCAAACCAGAGGTCACATTCTGGCATCCCACCCACAAGCCCAGTCCCCTGAACCCCACCAGTTCTGTCCAGCTGTCCCCAGCATACCCAGCCTCCTGGCAATGTCGGCAGCGCGTTGTCCCCAGATGCCATTGACAGCCACCAGCACAGTGTCACCACGCTCCAGGAGGTTGAGGAGGGCAGCCTCCATGGCACAGTGGCCGGTGCCACTGATGGCCAGGGTCAGCTGGTTCCGTGTCTGGAAGGCATACTGGATGCCTGCCTTGATCTCATCCATCACCTGTGGTGGCAGGGGACCAACTGGTGCTGCTATGGCCCCCCTCACCCTGGCTAAGCTGTCCCAGTCCCTCACGGGAGGCGAGGGAGGGGAGGGCAGGGGAAGAAGGCTGGGGCAGCTCACCTGCAGCACCTCAGGGTGCATGTGGCCCAGGAGCTGCTGGCCACCGGCAGCCAGGATGCGGGCGGGCACATTGCTGGGCCCCGGTCCGAGCAGCAGCCTCTCTGGTATGGTCAGCGGCCGGAGCAGGCTCTGGGGCGGGGGGACATGGAGCAGGCTGGTGGCCATGGTGCGCCTTGCCATCCCCAGGAACTGAGCCCGGATGAGAGGAGCAGTGGCAGCTGCCCGTGCAGCACCCAGCACCGCAGCAAAGTGCATCCTGTGCCAGCAGTGTCCACTGTCCCTGTGGACCCTGACCCCAGGGCTCCCCCGCCTGCCTGGACTCTGACCCTGGCCACCTCCAAGTCCTATTAATGTGTCACCAGTGCCAGCACTGCTGTCTTAGCTCCCCTATTTTGGGGAGTTCCCACTTGTTAGTGATGAGGGATCTTGCTCCCCAGGCACTCCAGCTTCTGGACTGGCAAATGCCCATGCTGTCCCTGTGGTCCCCAGGACACTGTGGCTGATGGTTCCCCAACATCATCCCAGCAGATGGGATCCCGGTACCTGAGCACACAGCTCCGGTGCCATGGGATTGTTCTGCTGGGACCAGCCCAGCACAGCCACCACGGTCACGACTCCTCCAGCAGCACAAAGCTCTGTCAGCCACGTTTCCCTGACAGAGGACCTGCCTTGCAGAAGGATGCCTGCTGAGTGACAGGGGGAGGCTGGCCATCAGGATGGTTTGCTCGAGGACAGAGCCATGGGGTGGGACATGGCCACAGTTCCTGCCACAGCGAGCTGTGCTCTGCAGGCTCAGCCTAGCTCATGGGCATCACAGCGTGTCCTGACGATGCCACAGGCCACGCGTTCCTGCTCAGTATGCTGTGCCTGTCACCTGCCATGTGGGCCCATTGTCCATTGTATCATGCCCATCCTCCTGCATGTTCTCTGCCATCCATGCTCTGAAACACAAACAAGCTGCCCACTGCCAGCTCCTAGCATGTCCAGGAGCGGGTCCCCAGCCAGATGAGCCAGTCGGTGAGCAAAGCTTTGGGCTGAGGATGATGGTTATGGGGTGGAAGTCATCGTCGTCCCTCCCACCCACCCCCCGGCTGAGCTGGCACAGGCAGCTGGTGCTGAAGGCATTTGGGGAAGGTGTGTGGGGCTGGCACAGTGCCAAGCAAGAGCACTTCTGCTCAGGAAGCCGGGGCATTGAGAGGAGCTGGGGACTGTAGCGGTCACCACCACATGGATGATGAAAACCAGAGTTAGCCTGGGGACTGCTGCCTGGTCATCAGCTACCGGAGTGAGGACCAGAAGTCCTGACGTCCTGAGAGGTCCCGAGCCCCAGCCCCTCATCCTGTGCCCCAGCCACGAGGGGACTCCCCACTGCTGGGATTGCTGCGGGATGCTCACAGCATCCTCTCTGCCGCCTGTCCTCCGGGAAGCCTTGGGGAAAGGCTGGGACGCGGAGGGGACGTGTGGCCTCGCGGTCGGTGAGGAGCGGGGGGGGGG